GACGCAACCGCTTTCATAAGTAATAGAGTGGACCTTGCCATTGAATTCTGCTGAATCACACATCTATAAATTTCTATTAAAATTACTTTCGCTAATACATCTGAGGGTGATTCTTTTAGCAGCTGTAACCACTCAGTTTCATGACACAGAATGTTACAGAGTAGACATTCCTTAAGAACGTTTGTAAGAACAATTCTTGAAAATCTCTAAGTGAAAAACAAAATTTCATGGCTAGGACACCAAGATATAGAACAAATGGGAATCATCATATGAATGCCCAATACACAAGATAGCAGTTGCAATTTTATAACACGTAAACAGAAAGACTGCATTATGCAAAGCATCCTATAAATATTTTGAGGAAGATAAGCTCACTGTCAAACTGAGCATACTCTTCAGAAAAGAATCCTATCAATGTAAAAATAGATGTGAATTTGAGGAGCATACAAAAAAAAACCCCAGCCCTGAATCATAAGCCCTAAACAGATCTTGTAGAATCTGTAGAGTCTAAAATATGATGTCTCAGGTTTTACAACAGAAAGAGGAGATAAATCAATGGGAATGTGTCAAAGTAGTAAAAAATTAGCAGTCACAGTCAGTGAACTTTAGATTGGAAAGAAGAAAATTAAGGTTCTGTCTGAGTATAAAGTGAAGGAAAAAATCAAGAACTACTTCTGTAAAGCAAGAAATGAGACTAAAACTGCAACTCAGACTTTACTGAATGTCAGAATACAATTGGATAGAGGATTTTCAGATTCCTTTTCTCTAATTTTAAGTATTGCCAATTTATCTTTTGCTTTGTGACCTTTCACTGTTTCCTTCCCCTTTTATTTCTGAATGGGTTTCCAGATGGTCTCCCAACCAAGAAATTTCTTCATTGCTCAAAATAGGGAGGGTTCTATTTTTACCAAAATGTAATGGACTAAGTTCTTATATTTTATGCAATTGTAACTACTAAGCTAAACACCACCTCATAAATATTTAAACAGTTTATATTCATGGCATACAATCGTTTTTTAACAACACAATGAAAACATCCTTACAATAACAACCCAAGTACGGAGAAAATATCAGGATTAAACAAAATGAATCAATTTACTCCGTAGTGAATTCACCTTGACAGTTTATAATTGGAAGCTAAATATGTAATTTTCATTGTGTTAAAATCCACCTCACATTGAAGAAAGGCTACCAATTAAAATAATTTCTGCCTGAAAACGGTTTGCCTACAACAGGGGCAAGAAACAGCTGAAACTTCATTAAGAAATTAAACAATAGTTCTTTTCACTCTTCACTCCCCACTCCCCATTTGTTTGACATTTTTACACTTGGCAGTACACTGTGTATTGACAAAGTAACTGTTTCCAATATACACTCAGTTTGTTAGTCAATTCATGTTTTGCTGGCAAGGATCTTCCATATAGCAACAGAAAATAAAATTTGAAAACGCTCAGAAACCTGTAAGAGCAAGCCCATAGAAATAGCCAGAAGTATGAAGCAGGCCCTAATATATGAAATAACTGATTTTTTTTTAAGCAAATAAATTTCAGGTTTGGTTTGTGGGGCTTTTTTTCAGCTTTGTTTTTCCTTACAAATTACTTCTATGAGATTTCCATCCAGAGATTTAAACAACATTAAATAAAAGCCTGTCCGTCTGTTTTCCAAGTAAAAGCAGATTTTCACTGAAAAATGTGAAATGATGAAAACAGACTCATTGAACCTGTGACATGAGGCAAGCAAGCAGTGGTTCCAGCAACCCACTCTCATCACACCAGAGCAGGGGAGAATGGAGTACTCAAGCAATTTGGTGGCTCTAAGGACTGTCAGACTTCTGTTTCTGGAGCAGCCCCTTCCCAGAACCTGACGTTTCAAGTTCTCCCTGCGCTGTATCTCAAGCACACTCCCACTCTGTGGACTCTTAGGACTAGGGACAAGGTTTCTTGTTGCAAGTCCTGAAAACCTGGGACTGAAAATCAGTGCGAGTCCCAGCTGCAGTAGGGGCTCTCTAGGTTAGTTAATGTAACAGCTTTCAGGTTTCTGCACTTCCTGATGAAGAACTGCCTCCCCTGCTTTAGGAATGCTGGATAACTTGGATTCCTCTAAGGGTTTGGTTTCTAAGCTTCCTAGTGACTAGAGAATTAACAGGAAGCTCAAACGCAGAAATCCTGAGAAAGCTCTCTACGTTTCATTCACTTTTTTTTTTCAAAATAGACTATTTAATGATTGAGAATGCATTTATTTACATTTTCATTCTAATGGATATAATTTTATATAAAAATGCAGCTTTAAAAAGCAGAAGGAATTTTCCAAGGAATAGATAAACTGACCTTTTTGCATACCCAGTAAGAAATATTCATCTCTTCATACTCTAAAATACATGTTGAGCAACTTATGCTGGAGAAGAGATGGTAAACAATCCAAAAAGTAGAAAAAGGAGTGCTAAAACCAGACGCTTTTTCATCTTTTTGATTGCTGCAGCCTGCAGATGTAAATACTCTGACCATGGAGAGTCTTCCACAAGAGGTTAGCATTTCTGAACTGTCCCACTGACAGCTGTGAAACAACTCAGGGCACATACACAGCTGCAGGGGTGGAAACATGGAATAGTTTGTAAAGTACCTCAAGAGGTCTAGACTGGCACTTTGCCACACACAAGGTCAATTTTATCTTTGTCATTCCTGGCTGATGTTTATCAAACCTATTAATAAAGGGGTCCCATGATGACAGCTACAATGCTCCTCAGCAATTCATTCCATTGCTTTCAATATCTTTGTCATCAGAATGTTCTTCATAATATATAATCCAAGTTCTTTTGTGCTGGAATCTAATCCAATTAACTTCTTTATTCATTATGGACACAGTGAACAAGTTACTCTCTTCCTTTTTGCAAAAGATTTTCCCAGACCAAATGGTTTGCAAATATATGTTAAAGTCTGGGGATGAAGTTTCTTCAATTTATGTCACAGTTATCAGCCAGACTTGATAAAACACTAGGTTAGAACATAAAAAATATAAAACTCAGCAAAATAGCAGCTATAAAACAAACTTTAGGAAATAATGCTGACATATGCTAAAATCTCAACAACTAAGAGTTTAGTGTCTGTGTATGTTGCTTAGCAAAGAGATAGGGATAAATATTTAGGGATTTTTTTGTTTGATTATTTGCTTCTATTTTGATTGAACGACAGTAAACCAGCAATCTTGAGCCCTAGAACCTTCAGTAAAAGCTAGTTTTCTATTGGAATTTACTTTCAATTGAATATTTTTGACCAGCCATATTACAAAGAAAGATTCTAGTTGTCTATTTAGCTAGTTTTTCATGAAGGGAGCCCATGGCACATCTGTTAGATGGTCTCCAGTGATTTATATGTCATTCAGGGATGCACTGAAAGCACATGTGTTTGAACAGAGGAAATCTTAACTTCAGAAAATTCAACCCAAAAATGTAGGCAGAAATTCATATAAAATAAAACTGAAAACCCAAGAAGAAAACAGGTATATGTTTTGTTCTTGCCTCCCTAAATACAGATCCCTTGTTGTGACTTTCTTCACTTAGAAACATCTATCATAACCCTTAAAATGTGTAACAACTAAAGACATAGCTTAGTTTTGCTAAATTCTAGCTTTTCCTCAGCATATTCTAAAGAATCATAATGTTTACAAGTTTTTAAATATCAGTGAAATTAAAATATTAATTTTATACATGTTTTAAAATAAAACTAACAGCACTGTAACGACCATATGTATTTTAGGCATTTGTGTTGTATACCTAAAGTGTCAAGCCAGTCTCAACTCCTGTACCAGCAGAATTTTATCCAGAAAGTATTCATAATACCTAAGTCAGTATGGCATTAATATAGTCTTAATTTTCCCTGCTCTAATGAGTTAGTGAGGCTTGCCTCTTACCACACTTGTTGAGCTCTAGAGATTCTAGTAATTTCTAAAGATGTTCTCACAATGCACACAGAAGATGTGCCCAACATCACTGTGTAGAAGAGCCCACTCATGCCTCGTTTACAATCTTTCCTTACTTTAGAGAGGATTAGACTCAAACTAGAGAAACCTAAGGACTGCTTTACTGCAAATTAGCTTTATTAGCTATAAAGGCTTGAAAACAGTAACAGAACTCTTACCAGGTATTGTCCTTTTTGTTACACAAAGCAGCAGGGGAGCCAGCTTGTCTTTACCTCACTAAAATATGCAGGACACCAAAATCCCCACAGTCTAGCACTAGCATAATCAAGTTAAACATCTTAGGGACACCTCAAACAGGGGTTTATGTGACTTAAACAAGTGACTTCACTGGCCAAAACGAAGAATGCCAAGAGAAACTGAGATAGCCATTAGCTGCATTGTCAGTATTAACCTTTCAACATTTTAAGTCACAAATGTTCTCCTGAATCACTACAGAAAGGTAGAAAAAAAAAAAAAATTCCAGATCTTCATAGGGAAGTTGTATATTTTTAATGACTTCCACTATTGATAGGTCAGCCTGGACAAGTCTCTTTTAGAAGTCTGTGTTCTTCTTACCACTCTTGATGGATATTATAGAAAAGTTCTAAATGTCATATTTGATTTGTATTGCATTTGAAATGGAAAAAAGTAGCCCACATGGGTTTAATAATTAATTTAGTATTTAGTTTGAAACGTTAGGGCACACAGCTTGGTTGTCAAAATACTCACTTTGGAATGAACTATTTAGTAAGTCTTAAATGGTCTTAAATGCGGCTATTCCAATATTCATTTGAAGACAAATTGTTTTTTATCTCCTAGTCTTTGCTTGCTAGACTAGGGACAATTCCAAATTTGATCTTGTGGCTTGATTATCACTTGATTATTTGGTGTGCAGTGTTTGAATTAATGTCAAATAAAAAATGTGAAAAAGTGATCTTCTCTTCCAGCCACTGCATTATTTCTTAATGATTGAAAGACTGCAGTATTCTTTTGGTGCCGAGTATTGTTTTGAACAGTTAGGCAAATACACCAGGTCTCCAACTTACATTCCCGAAGCAAACACGTATTTTGCTAGGTAGATAACCACAGCTGAATTTAGTCCCAGTCAGATTCCACTGTCAGACTGCAGAACCTGTAGAAAGAAGTAGAATTACTCTAATTGCATCTAGTAATTAGAAAACAACACAAGTACCTGGGAGAAAATTGCTAGGGAGGGAAACAATTTAACATAGAACAGAAAATGTGTTAAAAAGCAGACTCAGAAAAAAGCAAAACCAAAATGGCATGAGAAAAACAAGGCATGCTGTCTTCCCAGACGCTGTAGTCAGAAGGTTGAGTCGGGGGCACTTCTGCCATGTGAGAGCATGATGGAAGCTTTCCAGACAGCGCAAAGGTGACTTTGTTGTCTGTGGGAAATACATCATGGTATTCTTGGTTATAACATTCGCAGCAGAAACTGCTGTAAGCTTCGCCATAGTTCAGCAGAAGGGTCGGTTTGAAGGAGCCTTTTGCCCTGCTAGTCTATCCTGAGAACAAGGGTTTAGTGCTAAACACTACGAGTAGCAGAAACAGATCCTGATGCCAGGGGAATTTAAATGATCCTGGGTAAAGCTACAAACAATGCTCTATAAATCATAGTACAAAGGTTATAAAAAATAATTCAGATCATTCTTTTCCCAATCCCATACCCAGTTGTGAAGTAATAAAGTACAGCAGCTATTGCCTAAAAACAGATTTTGCCATTTATTTGCTTTCTTTTTTTTTTTTTTTTGACAGTCACCTACTTAGTGGATAAATGGAAAGCAATATATATATCTGGAGTATAGTAAAGTGCTTGAGATGATACCTTGCAGAATTGTACTGAACATCATTTCCCGATGACTTGTAGAAGAGCATTGTCACGTGGATTGAAAGCTGACTGTAAAATAACTGCTCATAATATTAAATAGGGAGTGTAGGGGGGGAATATTTAATAGCATTCTGTAGAGATTCATTCAGTTTAATGTCTTTATTAATAATATGGAGGTGGGAGTAAAAATACATTAATGAAATATGCAGGTGAGAATAAATTAGAACTTGAGGTGAACATCAGAGAGCACAAAGGCATAACACAAATGGGACCAAGTGAGATTAAGGAATCAGGCAGAAAATTACAAAATGAGATTCAAATAGGAAAAATACAAACTAATATGTTTGAAGAAAATAATGTAAAATACGGTTATTCAAATAGTCTGAAAAGCTGGGATGAAGTATAATGCTGGAAGAAGACCTCATAGCAGCAGTTTATTGCAAATTGAGTAAAAAGTTTGCGGTGTAGCATGGGTCAGGTCCTTTTAGTTCTGTTTGAGGCTTCTTTCTTCAGATGGTGAAGAAACTGTAGCAGCTCTGACTTTGGCTCTGCAGCCAACAGGCTCAAAGGACTCAGGAACACTGGACCTCTTTAAAAGTAAAAAATAATTATTATTATCAGTGCTCAATTCCCATAACTGAAAAGATAGTGACAATTGAGTGTATGACTTCACTCTAACTTGGCAGAGATGTAACTATAACCATCAACAACAATGAAGTACTGCACATCAAGATGATCCAATGACCCAGACCTGAGAAAGGGAAATGAGAAGATCCACCACAAGCAAGCCATGGTTTGATTAATTTCTGTAGCCAAACTGCTTTGCTTGCATGGCCCTTTGGGCGAAAATATGATAATGCGATTTTAGGTTAGATGCTGATTATACCATAGTGATGGTGGAGACCTGGGACTCTACACATACATTTTCCAAGACCAGGAGGAAAATTTGCTTTTGGAAAATTATCAGGAGGTCTTGGAATGTGTTAGTAAACCAACTGTGCACTGAACAATAGAAAAGTCACCTTTCTTCCTTGAGAAATACATAGAAGTATCTCATGTCTTGAAGCACTAGCAAATATTTGGATCTTTAAATCATTTTAACAATAATTGCTTTATTCAGCAAGTTCCACTTCTGGGTTTCTGAGGGGTTTTTGTTGGGTTTTGAGTTGTTTTTTTTCATTCCCCACATTAAATTAGCACCAATTCTTATCCTCCTTCCTGCACCTAAATTAATAATTCTGAATCAGAACCAGATATTTTTTCAGGTATAATCATTAGCACTTGTTAAAGGCTTTCAGATGCTCTAGGCTCTGTCTCATTGAGATTATTAAATGAATCTTTCACTTACCTTCTGGTTATTTTTCAATTTGTTTGAAGATGTCTGCAATTAAATCTCTTTCATAAAAGACAAATTCCCCTAACAAGGAGCAGTTTGCAGCTCGGAGCTCCAAGCATGCTCTCCTTGATCCCAAAGCAGCTTGTGTCATATGAGCTGTAGCAAGGAAGGAATTTCTGTTCGTTTTTTTTTCCACAGTGCTCGCCAGCTTTCAAAGCTTTTGCCTCCATAAACTTTTCTGTTTCACTTGAAATTCCTATATAACTTTCTGATGCTGTTTGGGATTTGTGCATATCTAAAAGTATTTATTCCAGTTGCCCACTATAAGTAAGACTACAAGATAAGGTGGACCAGAGTCTTTTACATATAGCCTATCCACTTTTTTTGTCCTCTGCACTCAGAGGCACGGTGGAAACTGCTTGGAAGCCAACTAGTTCAAAATTACAGCACACTATTTAGCAAGCTGACAGCAGAAAGCATGGCATGCTGGTTAAGGAAATATTAAACTGATGTGGGGGCAAAATAGAACAATGACAAGGAAAAAACAGATGAGATAAGAAAATCAGTGCATGGTTTGGGGATTTTTTTGGGGGGGGAGAGGAAGTGTTGTTTTTTTGTACATCGTTTTTAAGCTTAGAAGTACATTATTTTATCTGTTACCAGGTTTCCTTCTGTTTGACAGAAATAAATTTTGATCATAAAAGTAAGAATATATTGTATTTTGGGGTAACATAGGAAATGTTGATATTTTTTGAGGTAATGAAGGGTTTGAGAAGCAAATTTCTATGTTTTTTGACTTTCAGTGTATAACATGAAGGAGTTTAGATGCAGGTAATATACTTGGTCTTTGGAAGCTTGAAAACAGATTGTTACTTTGCATAATCAACTTACTGATATCCAGTGATGAGTAAGTCTATGTGAATTGCAGACAAACACTTCTAAAATAAAACTAAACATGTTGAATTTTTAGTGCATAGCTTATTGGCATAGGTTACTTTGGGTTCCTCTTAAACACTACCTTTTCATCTCCAAAAATGTGACAAATAAATCAATTTAATCAGTAATGTGGTAGTCCCAGGCCAATCTTCTTATCACCCCAATAAGGTAAGCTAGCAGCCATGGCTATAACCCTTTACCTAACATGCACTGTTAGGTATGTAGAGCAGCACCCTAGCATACACTGGTGCTGTGGCTATCAGTAAGGTGATTTGAAAATGTAAAGCACTATTTGATACCTAACTGCTTATTCTGCCTCGACATAAGATATATACTACAATTTCTGAGTGTCAGTATTAGTCTTTTTATTCAGCTATTGTCTATCTTTATTAATAAAATTCTGAAAGAGCACATATACATTTAAAATTTGCATAGATCCATGCATTCTGGAAACAGCACTGAACTTTGTTCATTACTTTTCCCCAGATGGTTAGCTCATATTACCACAATGAATATTATGAGGGTTCCAAAGTAACTGTACACTACCATACATTTTCCAAAAGAGAAAGCTGAAAAAACTCAAGAATGAGGTAGCAGTATTCACAAAAAATAATATCAAAACCAACCCTGACCTCTGACTTAAACTTCCAAGTACAAAAGCAGAAGTAGTTTTTCTGTATCACACAGAAACAATTAAAGTGTGCAAGGAAAAAACAAAATCTCTTATGCAGTTTGCAGGTTTCATCAGAGTTTATTACAATTATCCAGTCTTAAAACACATGCTTAGGTCCAGAAGTAAGTTACGTAGTATTAAAAGTGCATGGCTTGGAGGGGGGGATTAAAATATTGAAATGATTGAACTAATTTCTAGTAGTCTATTATCTTCTTTAATCTTTAAATACTGGTGTTTTTTTACTATGCCATACCTTTCGTACTACTCAGCTGCACTGTTCCAAGGATATTAAATATATCTCTTTCTCAAACACATCTTGAACATTTGACAGAATCTGGTTTCAGAAGCCATTTGGAGAAGATCATGCTAACTTGTGGTCCTGTTGCTAGATTCTCTGGATCTCTTTTAAATAATAATTACAATATTTTTAGTCACAAAATAAAAGCTGACTCACATGAAGTTTGCAAATACAAATACCTCTTTCTTTTCCATAGGTAACAGTACCTTTTTGGCTCTTTAATCAAAATTAGTCATTCCTTCTTGATTGGTGTAATGCACACTTAATCCTATGGAATTAAGACCACTATTTTCCAATTAGTATTTTAGAAACAGATACTTTTCTAGTATCATCACTATGGTAACATATTTCAAATTCTTCAATTCACAAATAATACACATTGTTTAAAACACTCGATTGATCAAAATTCCTCAAATGCTTCTCCAGCTGCTTTCCATTGCTGTTCCTTTTAAAGCACACATTAGTGGTTTTAGGTAAGCCTTACTACTCATTTCTTGTATTTTTTATAAAGTAAACTGCCACATATAGACATTTGAGTTCCTTAAGTTTTTCATTCCTTTTGAGATTAGCATTGCGACCATGTAAGATGATGATGAGACAGTCTAAGGATAAAACATATTTGGAAAGCACTTGGCATATATTAGTAAATGAATGGGAAATGATCAGTTAAAGCAGCAGATGATCAGAAAAGAGGCATATTTTACTTGCAAATAGGGCACAAGTTGGCAAGTAAACTTGAGCAGGTTTTAGTACAACTGAAATGTTATGTTAGTACTTTTTCATGGTAGAAAATTTGCAGGATGAGACCATGCACCAAAACACTTCTGCTATAACGAATCCTAGGAGAATATTTCCATAATAGAAACATAGAATAGTTAGGGTTGGAAAGGACCTTATGATCATGTGCTTCCAACCCCACTGCCATGGGCAGGGACACCTCACACTAAACCATCTCACCCAAGGCTCTGTCCTACCTGGCCTTGAACACCAACGGGGGTGGAGCATTCACAACTTCCCTGGGCAACCCATTCCAGTGCCTCACCACCCTCACAGTAAAGAATTTCTTCCTTATGTCCAATCTAAACTTCCCCTGTTTAAGTTTTAA